TTCAGAGTTTGAATTTTCTCTAATAACCTCTCTGTATTACTTCTTAGCTTTTTATATTTTTCTTTTGAAGAACAAGGAAAACTGTGAGGCATGAATATAAAAGAATGAGTGACTTTTATACATGGGTTATCAAACTGACATTATTTTTCATTCACACTTTGTATTGCTCTTGTTTTTAAAGATAATACTGATAATCATTCTTACAAAATGACTGAGGTTAAGCTTCTAACACTGAAGTGTCAAGATACACTTTAAGCTACCGGACAACACAGTATATTTTTCTGGAGTGTCAATTTTACTCAACGATTTTTCTAGGACACACACACATTTTACACTAAAATAAACATATACTTGTTATGGATTAGAGGGCAAACTTAAAATAAATACATTTGTAAGACAGAACAGGAGATTTCTGTGTCTCTGGTGGTGCCCTCCCCAGATGGTGTTGGGTATACACTTTGACTGTTTTGTTGTTAAGAGCATCCAGGCGTTAGTTTTGATAGATACTTTTGCAATCTGATAAAGTACCGATAGGAAAAAAACCAGCATATGTTGATCCAAACTACCGATCCTGTATTATTTTAGACTGAAACTTGGTTCTCAAGCTTTAAACTCATCACCCAGAGGACTTGTGAAAACACATGTCTAGGCCCCCTCTGAGTTCCTGATTCAGCAGGTCTAGGTGAGTGGATACAAGAACAATTTGTATCTAAGAAGTTCCCGGATGCTTCTGCTGCTGGTCCAAGGCAGAGAACTGCTTTAGAGGAATAGATATAAAGTGGCTCAACTTTTGCTTGTTATTACACATTTTCACTTCAGTTACCAGCCCAATCTTTCAGACTATACGCTGCTATCCCTGTACTCAGACAACCAGTACACTTACCAATGCTATCATAAAATCTCGCCGAAAATAAGTAAAAGGAGAGGAAACAAAGTAATGCACAAATTCCATCCATTATCAGTAAGTGTGAAGATAGGCAAGATTTCTCACGTATATAAAATAACCCTATCTCACATGGGATTGTTATGAGAATTTGAAATAATGTGCACAACACTTGAAACAATGTAGGTACATATTAGTAGCTAGCATTAGGAATTATTATAGTTATTATTATACTATTATTATTAGATACCTTGAGAGTCCAGTTCTAGAAAGCAGGAAATATTCGCAGGTATTTCCTATCTTGCTTATTTCTCCTTTGCCTCAAATCAATTTTAAGTCTACCATATGGGGGATACTTTATTTAAAAGGTCTAAAGAGCTTTTACCACAATTTACGGTCATAGCTATTGTCCCACATTAAACT